TTTACTGATGGCGGGTTTTTCTTTTGTTTCAAGCTTCTCTGCAGTAGTGGGCTTCCGTATTTATAAAGCTGATGCTTAGGTAAAACTGAGAGTTCTCAGCTTTGCCAACGCAGTTCTACCTTTTTCGCTCTCAACTTTGCCTAAGCGTCGGCTTTATAAATGAGGAAGCCCTCTATTGATTATGGGTTTTTCTTTTGCTTTTACTTTTTCCTTACTTCTTCGCAGTTTAAGAATGGTAATATTCAGAATAAGGTGGATGATGGACTTGTACTAAGGGCATCTCAAAACGGTTAAAACCGTGTCATACTTCTTTGCGGAGAGGATCGTTAAGATAATTATCACTGCAGTTGAGGAGACGAATGTCAGGATCGCCAACAGTCGTAACAGGCTATCAGGCAATGCAACACCGGACGAAGCAGCTGAGTAAAGTATCAGCTGTTGAAAGAATCACGCATGATGGATTTACCAGCTAAACCATGCCTTTCGGGTAAGAAATTTATGCTTTTGATGCTAAAAAGCCAACATTTTTTTTAGTATGGCGGTGATGGATATTGCAGTGCGGCATGTTCAAGTGGTGGATTTCTACTGAAAACCGCTGGACGGCTTGGTCACGCCACACAGATTGGTGGTGCAATTTGGGCTGAACAGAGGCAACAAAACAGTGTAGCAGTGGCACTTTCTGGTTGTGGTGAATATATTGCGCAAACGTTACTGGCCAAAACCATTGCTGACAGTTTACTTAAACAGTAAGCATTCCCGGATTGTGCTATCTTAAGTGGACAATAAGAGTAGTAAGAGTACCATTCATTTTATCGCGTCTTATTTTGCTTTAAAATATATTTTAGCAATAAGAGAGAAACACAGACAAGTAAGGATTAACAAAGGTTTAAAGCCCAGTTTTCTAACTTATGTTTAGTGGGGAAAAACAGGCAAACAAAGATAACCCAGTTTTCTAATTTAACTATATTTACTTTAAGTCGATTTTCTGGCCTACGTATATTTACTTTAGGTCAGTGATTAAATAGTAAAATAAAGGGATTGGACTTAAGTGTCATGTGTAAGAAGACATTTTATGATTCACTGTGTGTTTCATTTCTTAGCTGTTAAGTTGAGAATGTGCGGAGAATGCCAAAATCTAAAGATGCATGTCGCAGAATTGCAAGATTTGCCTTGTACTAGCCTGGTTGCGGAGTATTCTGCGCCGGAAACTGGTATCTGTGGGAAAACCTGTACAATTAGCTCTTGGCACACTTCCTAAAAGTAATGATCAGTGTGGAAGAATATGTGATTTTCGCTAATATTCGAAAGGAATATTTATACAAACAACTGAGGGAATGCGATTTTTCTAACATTTCCATCGGAAGAATAAAAGGGAAAAGCAGGGAACCGAATATAGTGGGATTAACCCGAAGACTGAGGACAGGA